GGCCTGCTGTGTTCATCCAGCTCTACACCTTGTTATCTCAGATTCTCTAGCATATGCAGTTCCTAGTATCTCTGAAACAATTTTAACGCCACTGCGAAGCCCATTTCTGAAGAAGGGTCTCGGCCCGAAACGTCAGCTTTCCTGCTCCTCTGATGCTGCTTGGCCTGCTGTGTTCATCCAGCTCTACACCTTGTTATATCAATAAATATGATGTGTTGTGCAAGTGTTCCAAAAAGTACAATTAATTCCTCGTGCATGATGCCAGAAACTTGTGCCATCTTTACAGGTGGCATTTTAATTCTTTCAAATTCCTCATTTGATTGGTCATTTTGAAGTAGAGAAGTAATTTCAGCGACTAAGCCTGGGAAAGTTCTGGGAGACGGCAAGAACTGCAGATGCTAGAGTCAGAGTCAACACAGTGTGGAGATGGAGGAACACAGCAGGTCAGACAGCGTCAGAGGAGCAGAAGACTCCATGTTTCGAGTTTACACCCTTCATCAGGATTCTGGAGGGGTAAGGGAGCTAGGAAATAAATAGAGGGAAGGGGGTGGGGTTGGTGGAAGGTGGGTGGGATGGCGATAGGTGGATGCAGGTAGGAATAGTGGGGATTGGTCAGTGGGAAGGGTGGGGTGGATAAATACTTACACTGCTGTTAAGAATGTCCTGTTTCTGGACAATTCTAGTTTTCATACAGCCACGTTTACACTGCTGTTACTGTACAACCTTCTTAAATAGTCTGGAATATCAGCCTGGAAGATGCTTGTTTTTACAGCACCTATGACATTGTTAACCAATTCCCCTCACTATGGAGCTGTTGGGCTCTGTAAACTATAATTCCTGGCAAGTTTTCTCTATCCTGGCAATTCTCTATCCCAAGTGCTATTTCGAGAGCCCTAGCATATACAAGTCTGGCTTCATCAACAGCTCCCTCTGTGTTGGCATTTCGTTCCAACCACAGAACATTTCTATTGCATCATCTAGGTGGCCACCAAAGTCACATGTTTTGATTCATTTCCTCAGTTTCCACAAAGTGCAAAACATTTATATTATGCCTTTGCCTCTTCTCATTAAATGTAAACCCTTCCACAATAGTGAATAGTTTAGGGCCCAGATATTCTTGGATATCCTGAATCAGGAGCAATTAGACTCCTAGACAGTATTTGTCCTGCAAATAGTGAGAAAATCTGCTCTCAATTCAACACTGTTGTGAGTAAGTTCATATCAAAATAACAAGTCCTTCTAAATTTTCACTCCAGCTCAATCCCACTCAGTACTGCTCAAGGAATGCCAACATGACAAAAATAATTTTAAAGACAATTTTAGATTACAGCCAAAGTATCAAAGATGTCTCATAGTTAATCTTTAGAACAACACAGTGTCAACTGTAAAGCAAAAACAGAAATTGCTGGTGAAACACAGCCGATGTGACAGGGCAGCACGGTGCCTCTGTGATTAGCACTGGTGCCTCACAGCACTAGGGACCTGGGTTCGATTCCAGCCTCAGGCAGATGTCTGTGTGGGTTTCTTCTGGTTCTCCAGTTTCCTCCCACATCCAAAGATGTGCAGGTTAGGTAGAGGGGCCATGCTAAATTGCCCATAGTGTCCAGGGAAGTATAGGTTGGGTGGATTAGCTATGGGAAATGCAGGGTTACAGGGATGGGGTGGGTCTGGGTGGGATGTTCTCCAGAGGATCAGTATGGACTTGATGGGCCAAATGGCCTGGTTCCCACTGTAGGGTTTCTGTGGTCTGCAGGAAGAAAGCAGAGTTAACATTTTGAATCCAGTGACTCTTCATCAGAATTGCCAGCAATTTCTGATTTTGTTTTGGATTTCCAACATCCGCAACTCTTTGTTTCATTGCACTGTCAATTATTCTTGTTGCCAGTGTTGAGCACAAATAAACACTCAGATTAAAGACAATGACAATTGCTCTTTGTTTGCGAACCCACTGGAACACATGATAAATGAAGGGATACAAGAGGAATTCAGATTAAACACCAAAAGTAATTGTACTGAGCACCAAAAATATGTTGTAAAAGGCAGGACAAAAATCAAAAACTATCAATAAGGCTAACCAAGCTTCAGATTGAATTATGGCTGAGGAAGGAGAGGAATTCAATGGTTTTGAATATGATCTGGAATGGGCACTATAGATACACTACATTTAGCTGAATGCAGGCAATGAGCATTAACTGGGGATTCACTTCTGCCCAATATACCCATAGAAGGGCGGTGGAACCAGATTCAATGATAACTTTCAAAAGAGAGTTGAATTAACACTTGAAAAGGGAAGAAAATGTAGTCCTACCAGGAATCATAGAATCTCTAAAGTGTGGAAGTAGGCCATTTGGCCCATCAAGACCACACTAGCTCTTATGCACCCCCTCCACCAAGAGCTACCCCCTACCCTAACCCTGTAACCCTGCATTCCCCATGGCTAATCCACCTAGCCAGCACATCCTTGGACACTATGGGCATTTTAGCATGGCCAAACCAGCTAACATATGTTAGAGAGGGAAAGAAAGGTGAGTGACACACACTGGATTTCTTTGTCAAAGAGCCAACACAACCATCATAGGCTGAATAGCTTTCTTCTGTGCTGCTAGATTTTCAAATATGTGGGGGCAACTCCAAAGGACTTTAAAAATGTCAACCAATGCCTTATTCCAGGATTGCTACTCCCTTTCTCAGCAATGGTAACTTCATCAGCATGGCATAAGGGTGTGGATAATAAGCCCACACCCTGTGATCTGGGCCTGGTCAGCTTCATTGCCATGGTAGGCATCTCGTCACCTCCCAACTCAATTTTCATAGAGCCAGTCTAGTTCCTTGTAAACATATGGTTTGTGGTCTTTCAGAGGATTTATGGACCACAGTCTGGATTTGGAAATCTTTCGAAAGGTTTGTTAAACACCTCTTATCCATGTCCCATCTATGTTTGTCTTCCAACTCCACGTCCATTCACCCAGTATGTGCTGCAAAACCAAATCAGCCATTAAACAGCAAAGATAAGTCCTGAAATGTTCTTGACAAAAAAAAATGCCTATTCCAATAAAAGTGTCAGTCATTATAGCATGAATATCTGAAGTTATACCCCACTTCACACCACTTAATTCTGACCAAATAAACAAACTAAGTGAAAGAAAATGTTCAAGGAAAGATGATAAACGCATGAAGTATCAAGCAGAGCAAACACTCTTCTTTCCTCTTTCTAAACACACACTTTTGAGCTAATCCATGAGTGAGCTTTGAATCTCAGTCAAACATTCATAATAAGAAGGCCCAGCAGAAAAACAGAAGCCTGGCCATCTGTTTCTGTTGGTATAGTTCACAGATGGTCTCATTATGAGTGCTGGACTGAAACCAATAGAGGCTTATCATTGAACATAGTCAAGGCTGATCTAGACATAATTATTGATTGACATAGGTCATGGGGACAGGCAGAAAAGTGGACTTGAGGTCACAAGCAGATCATCTGTGAACTTATCGAATAGTGCAGCATGCCCAATGGGTCTCAATCCTGACTCTAATACTTAAAGTCTTCTGAACTTCTGGAATCAGCGAGCCAAATCAGAAAATTTCTGAATTTTTATTCCCTTGCTTTGTAGAGCACAAAACTGACCCTATTTTTGGAATAATAAATGGCTCTGAAATTCACACCATTTCAAATTTATCTAAAAGGCAGACAAGTACTGAGCTGCAGAGCTAAATTTATACCAGAAGCCTGTAATTGTACACAGCTCAGAATTATAGACTGTTGCACTTTCAAGCATGTGGTAAGTTGCCTTCAAGATTTTCTTTATACACAAGCAAACACAATTGCTTGTTAATATACAGTTAACTCAATGCATCTATCTCCCAAAAGAACATGCATTAAAATTATCAATAAACAAACGGACAATTGGATACCAGCTGATAAAACTGTTTGCCAGACTGTAACTTGGGATATGTGCAGTCAAGTGTTTATTCTGGGACTTTCAAAGTGTAGGAAGATTATACAAAGGACATGATTAATGTGGTACATCTAGCCACTAAGACATAAGTAATGAGAACACAAGAAATGGGAGCTGCAGTAGGTCTTACAGCCTTAGAATCTGTTGCACTGTTGAAGATTGATTGTCTACTTCAATTCTAAATTGTCACCCCGTGTACCCAATATCTCTTGATTCCCTTTGACTCCAAAAGTTTTTGTTGGAAAATGGATCTCGAAGGTGTCTGTAAGGCTGATGGGAGTCAGCCATGGCTCCATTAATAGCACTTCTGCCTCTGAGCCACAAAGTGCAGATTTCACGACTCACTCCAGGGACTGGGCATTATTGAAAAAAAGAATCACAGCTGATACTCCAATGCAGTGCTAAGACACAAAATTTTGGTCTTTTACAACATCCTCACATTGTCCAGATAACAATTCAATTTTTTTCTCTTACTTGGGAGGTCCATGAGCAAATTTCAGATATGAAAAAATTCCAAAACAATTAACTGATCATTTAAATGATTAAGTAATAAAAATGGCCGCTAAAAAAAGTGCCAACCAACAAAGATAACTAATAAAACCAAGTTCTCACCTTTCGGTTAAGAAGCAGAGCTTGAGAGAGAAAAAGACTATGCCTGCAGTCCTGATCACCAGGATGGGATTGGGATCATAGCTGAGGTAAGGAATGCCATTTAACTAACACAGGCTTTGGTTCATGCACATTCAGAGTTGTCTTTAGAGGAATCCACATGAAAGCAGGGTTGCCTTTCAGCCTGTGGTTTCCTTCTCTCCCAGCCTGCCTTATGGATAGGTTTATGCAGAGTCTGGATGAGAAGGAGGAGGAAGAGGAGGAGGAGGAGGGGTCAGATGGCTGCGTATCTTGTTTAGGCCCACTCACCCACCCTTTGGTTGCTCAGTCACCCACCCATCAACACCCCAGTCACTCAACGTACCCATCTCCCATCATTTATCCATCAAACCATCATCGGCCACTCACTCACATCCATAGCTCCCTATTCATTCATTCACCCATCTCCCCTGTCCTCCCAAGCCCACCCCAGCTTGTTGCTCATCCAGTCACAGACTGCTTCTCTCCATCAATTGCTGCTGATAGGCTGTTTAGAAATGGTATCGAAATGACTGTTTGGAGAAGCAAGCTCATCACAAAATCTTCCAGCTGCATTTTCTTTTGCGTTTTGAACCACAGCTCGATGGGCCACATAGGACCCCTGGGTGGGTCATACTGTAGCCTGCAGACCAAATGTCGCACAAGTTGGCTTTCGAAGAATCCATGGTTCGATTTTGAAGAACAGCGAGGAAAGTTATCCACATGTGTCCTGGCCAGTATCTGCCCAATAATCAACATCACAGAAACAGATTGTCAAGTCACATTGACCACATTCATAATCTTGGCAGAACACAGATGTTAAATCTGTGGTGGCATAAGACCAAAAGAAATAGGAACATTGTCGACCATTTCAGCCTGCCCTGCTATTCAATAAGATCACAGCTGATCCAACCTTCCTCATGTCCTTCTGTCTTATCCCTATAACCCTTGATATCCCAATTGATCAAGAACCTATCTCAGCTTTAAATGTACACAAGTCTGCCCCCACCGTTCCCTAACAATAAGTTCCAAAGACTTTCAAGCCACTGAGAGAAGAAATTCTTCCTCATCTCAGTCTTAAATTGGTGCCCCTTAATTCTGAGATTATGTCCCCAGTCCAAGACTCTGCCATGAAGAGAAACATCCTCTCAGCATTTGAGAATCCTGTACATTTCGGTACAGCATAGGAACAGGCCCTTCAGCCCAGCATGTCTGTGTGATCATTAATCCCATGTCTGCACTTGATCTGTCTCCCTCTATTCCTTGTCCATTTGCCTGTCTGCCCGAACGCCCATTAAATGTTATGATTGCATCTGCTTCTACCCACCTCCCATGGCAGCACATTCCAGGCATCTATCAATCTTTGTGTAAAAAACCTTTCCTCATACATCTCCTTTAAACACCTCCCCTCTCACTTTAAATCTATGCCTCCTAGTATTTGGCTTTTCCACCCTGGGGAAAAGAAAAGACTCTGAATATCCATGCCTCTCATAATTTTATGTACCTCCATCAGGTCACCCATGAGCCTCTGACACTAGCAAAAACAATCCATGTTTGCCCAAGCTCTCCTTATAGCTTATACACTCTAATCCTGGTAATCTTGGTAAACCTCTTTCGCACACTCTCCAAACCCTGTAGTGTGGCAGTTTCAATGAGATGACCCCTCATGCTTCTAAACACCAGTAACATCATCCTAGTGAACTTTCCCTGAACTGTGTCTGATGTAATGTTATCTTTTCTTAAATAAAGGGACTAAACTGCTAAAGGTACTCCAGATGTAGTCCCACTGGCATCTTATACGGTTGTAGTAAGATTTCCCTACCCTTGTACTCCAACCCTCTTGAATTCTGGCTAACATTCGAGAAAGATTTTGCCTACCAATCGGTAAACAAGTGCAGGCACATCAGTTTGGGTTTGGAGTTTGGGTCCCCTGCTCTGCTATAATTTGACTGAGGGAATGGGCCTAGGGATGTGCTAGATGGAGGGTTATGACCTCTGAGAGCCAAGTCTCTTGCTCAGCATCAAATCCCTGCCTCCTTTCCCAATAATCAGAACAGCTCAACATCTCTCCACCAACTCCAAATAATAGCTAACTTTTGCATCTCAGATCTTCCTTCTGAGGGAGGGGATAGCAGAGCCTGCCTATACCTTAGGGTCTTATGATCCTTCATTTTGATGACTGGTTGAGATTCTGTAGATCTGAAGCCTTTCAGCCATGTCTGAATTCCAGCATTCAGAGTGAGAGAGAATCCTTTAGTTGTCTTTTATTTAACCAATTGGAATTAGAGAGGGTCTTTACCTGCAACACAATTTTAACGAGGTGATAGGAGCAAATTACTGCAGATGCTGGAATCTGTACTGAAAAGAATCATCTACACTCGAAACGTTAGCTTGCTCTCTCTCCATGGGTGCTGCCTGGCTTGCTGTGATCTCCAGCATTTGTTGTTTTCAGTTTTAACTAAGTGAAAGATCTTTGACTGTGACCTTCACAGCATGCAAATTCACAAACAAAGGCTAGCACACAGGAGAGTGTCCAGTCCCTCCAGTCCATTCGAAACTTGAAACTGTCCTTGTATATTCCTGGAATGTAAAATAGACCTATCTGCAAGTGATGGCTTTCTGCCGAGTGTAAAGAAAGAAATTGACAGCTCCTTCATTATCTCTTCTTGTAAGGTCTCCTCTGTTTGAGGTTTCCCTGATAATTTACATGTGCAACATTCCACTGAGTTCAACCAGAATTTCCACTGAATTTAATACCATGGTTTTTCTGTAGCAGTACCTCTTTTAAAAGTAATAAGTTTCTGAGGCATTTTTGGAATTTAAAGCAAAAAAAACCTACTGTATTTCAGGATTCCTGTAATTTTGTACCAATTGCAAAATTAACAACATTTAAGAAGATCCCCAAGTAATCCTAAAGTTGTGAAGACACTTTCTTAAACTAAAAATGGCTTTTTGACTGTAACCCAAGCAATCCAGACAGTTCAGAGGATCTCCAGTATGTAGCCCTAAGATGTCAACACTATGCTACGACAATCATGTATAATGGGCTGTAGACTTGCAGTACTGCCAAAATAGGTAGGTTTTCATATACTTAGAGTTATCCAGTCATAGAGATATAGAGCACGGAAACAGATCCTTTGGTCCAACTCGTCCATGCCGACTAGATATCCTAAATAAATCGAGTCCCATTTTTCAGCATTTGGCCCATATCACTCCAAACCCTTCCTATTCATATACCCATCCAAATGTCTTTTAAATGCTGTAATTGTAGCAGCCTCCACCACTTTCTCTGGCAGCTCATTCCATACACGCACCACCCTCTGTGTGAAAAAGTTGCCCCTTAGGTCCCTTTTAAATCTTTCCCCTCTCACTTTAAACCTATACCTTCTAGTTTTAGATTCCCCCACCCTGGGGAAAAGACCTTGGCTATTTACCCTGTCCATACCCCTCATGATTTTATAAACTTTTGTAAGGTGACTGATCAGCCTCCGACACTCCAGGGAAAATAACCCCAGTCTATTCAGCCTATCCCTATAGCTCAAACCTTCCAACCCTGGCAACATCCTTGGAAATCTTTTCTGAACTCTTTCGAGCGTCACATCATCCTTCCTATAGCAGGGATATGAGAATTGCATGCAATATTCCAAAAGTGGCCTAACCAATCTCCAGTACAGCCACAACATGACTTCCTAACTCCTATACTAATGCACTGACCAATAAAGGCAAGCATACCAAATGCCTTCTTTGCTATCCTATCTACCTGTGACCCCACTTTCAAGGGACTATGAACATGCGCTCCAATGTCTCTTTGTTCAGCAACATTCCCCAGGACCTTACCATTAAGTGTTAAAGTCCTGCTGTGACTTGCCTTTCCAAAATACAGCACCTCACATTTATCCAAATTAAACTCCATCTGCCACTCCTCAGCCCATTGGCCCATCTAATCAAGATCCCATTTTACTCTGAGATAACCTTCTTCGCTGTCCACTGCACATCCAATTTTGGTGTCATCTGCAAACTTACTAACCATACCTCCTATGCTCACATCCAAACCATTTGTATAAACGACGAAAAGCAGTGGACCTGGTACTGATCCTTGTGGCATGCTTCTGGTCACAAGTCTCCAGACTGAAAAGCAACCCACCATCACCACCCTCTGTCTCTTACCTTCAAGCCAGTTCTGTATCCAAATGGCTAGTTCTCCCTGTATTCCAAGTGATCTAAGCTTGCTAACCAGTCTACCCTGAGGAATCTTGTCGAACGCCTTACTGAAGTCCGTACAAATCACGTCCATTGCTCTCCCCTTATCAATCCTTTTCGTCACTTCTTCAAAAAACTCAAATCAAGTTTATAAGACACAATTTCCCATGCACAAAGCCATGTTGACTATTCCTAATCACTCCTTTCCAAATACATGTAAATCCTGTCCCTCAGGATTCTCTCCAACAACTTGTCCACCACTTATGTCAGGCTCACCGGTCTATAGTTCCCTGTATTTTCCTTACCACCCTTCTTAAATAGTGGCAAATGTTGGCCAACCTCCAGTCTTTACTTGCTGCATCTATAAATTTGACATTTAACAGTCATCAATTATAACCTGACCTGATCAGGGGGAGGCAATGGCCTAGTCGTATTATCACTAGATTATTAATCCAGAATCACCTCATGTTCTGGGGACTAGGGCTCGAATCCTGCCGTGGCAGATGATGGAATTTGAGCTCAATTTCAAAAAAAGTTATCCGTAATTAAGATCATGAAACCATTGTCAATTCTCCAAAACATGCATTTGGCTCACTAATGTCCTTCAAGGAAGGAAATCTGCTGGCCATTTGGCCTATATGTGACTCCAGACCACACTGCAGTGTTGCAGACTCTCAGCTGCCCTCTGCAACGGCCTAGCAAGCCATCCAGTTGCATCAAGTGCAATGAAATTAAGGGCAACTAAAGATAGGAAATAAATGCTGGCCAGCTGGTGGAGCCCACATTTCAAGAAAGAATAAAAAA